GAAACATAGATCTTTCCCCTTTCTTCTCATATCCTACCGTCTTATATATCCCAGGCTGACAGTGAACTCACTATACAGCCAAGGATGACCTTGAACTTCTAATCCTCCTGCTTAGTGCACCACCAAGCCTGGTTTATGCAGTACTAGGGACTGAACCCAGGGTTTCCAGCTAGGCAAGCACACGTCCAACTGAGCTACACCTCTAGCCTGTTGTCTTTAGTGAATTTCCTTAGTGTTTTAAATGATCATTGTAGAGGACTTTCGTTATCTGGTTAGGTTAATTCTCAGGTAATTTTTTTCTTTTAAGCTTTTTTGTTGTTTTTTGAGACAGGATTTCTCTGTGTAACAGTTTTGGCTGTCTTGGACTCACTCCATAGACTGGGCTGACCTCAAACTCACAGAGATCCTCCTGCCTCTGCCTCCCGAGTGCTGGGATTAAAGACGTGTGCCACCAGCGCCCGGCTTCTTTTAAGCTTTTATGAATTGCAGTGTTTTACTGATCATTATCTCTGCACAATTGCTGTTTGCATATAGGAAGGCTACTTCAAAGAATTACATTTAAATTACAAACTTAGCCTCTGTCTTCTGTAGATTTGGCTTTTGGTTTACCAAAATAGCTTCTATGGTTTCATAAGCCTGCACTGTTACAACAAAGCAAATGGCCTTATCACAAAGGAACGATTTCCTTTGCTATTTATGGAGTTTATGATTATGCTATGATATGGTGCACACTTTGCTATTTATGGAGTTTATGGCTGGGTTGTGATCTGGAGTGCATTTTGTCATTTATGGAGTTCATGGCTGCCCTGTGATATGGTATGCAAAAGGGAAGAAATCACTGCTTTATTATTATGGTAATCTGACAGGCATTAACTGTTTATTACAGGTACAAGTGCAAGTATATAAGACAAGCCCCATTAAAAATAACATTTGTGTAATTACTTCCTTATTTGTCGTTGGTATTTAAGATAAAAGGGGACAGAATTTATACTCTATTTCCTGTAGATTCACATTATTCAAGTGAGAAAAGGCATGGTATGGAAGAAACTACCAGGTGTAATATTTGGAAGGTGTTGGTGCAGTCCATGAGAGTTAATATCTTTATCTCAAAAATCCACCAGTTAACCTGCTGAGTGGGAAACTGCAGGTTTTAGACCAAGTACCTAATTTGCAAATACTGTGCTTCATGAATATTAATATTTTAAGCTCAAGAGGCAGAATTTGGAGGTGCAGTGGTTAAGAATGTTTTCTGTAAAACCATGAGGGCCTGAGTTCAGATCCATGTCCATAGGCAGCAAGCTTGCCTTCCACTTCCCAGCTTTATTCTCCTCCTTGTCCCGCCTACACTTCCTGCCTAGCCAATGGCCAATCAGTATTTTATTTATTGACTAATCAGCAACACATTTGCCATACAGAACATCCCACAGCACTTCCCCCATTTTTTTTTTTCAAAAAGGAAGGTTTTAACCTTAACATAGTAAAATTACATATAATTTGGGAATTTGGGCGTAGCTTCTCTTACTACTTCCTGCTGGAGGGGGGCGCTGTATCTTATGGGGACATAAAGAAAATTTTAGGATTATGGAATAGTCCATGAGGGTGTATCGTCTGAGCCAGTTGCCTTGAAACCATTCCGGATGTTGGGTCATCTGGGCCATGGTGTCATCAGAGACCTTTCAGGGGGTCTTGGCTGGTCAAACCTGATGTATCTTAATCTGGAACAAATCCATAGCCTTTGGCTTTCTGTGGGAACAAAAGAAGAGACTCTTTTCCAAAGCAACATATCCTTATATCCAAATTTTGAAGTCAAGGTACCTTTAAAATATACATTTTGGCATAACTCAACAGCTTTTACAATCAAATGTTTTTCTGCAGTTAAAAATCCCAAAGACAACACAATCCAGATTCTCTGTGTAATATTCATCTTTACGTGGCTTATTTTTTATATTACTTTTACTGTCTCTTTAAAGACTTTATTTTTTTAAAACTATGTATTTGTTTCTATAACTCTATATATCACCTTTTTTGTCTCTTTCAAGCCTACGTATCTTTTACACACATTGTAAACTATTGCATCTGAATCTGTCTTATTGTGAATCTATTGCTTTAAACTGCAGCAGCTGTGGCTGCTGGCTCTGCCCACCTCAGCTTCCCAACATGGCTACGTTTACCGCCAGCTCTGGGAGCCATCGTGGGTCCATGCCTTTATCCAAGCAGCGTGCAGCCCAGAAACCTCCCCTTTTGCTCTGCACCAGCAAAGGCTAAATCCACCATGCAGCTCAAAGTGCCACTTGCAAAGGTCTCATTCCTGCCATACTGCAGATCCAGCGCACACGCCAGTAGCTCAAACCGGCAGCTGCCGCTCATTTGAGAGAGACAATTAGGAACTGTTTTTAGCTCTGTTTTAGAATCTTTTTTCTCAGTTTTTAGGTGGAAACTCTTGCCACCACGTTGGACACCATTTGTAGCTGGAGTTTTTCTGCCTGGCCCACAGTCAGGATAAATCTCTGCCACCCGCCAGTCCCACAACCGCTCAAACCCGACCAAGTAAACACAGAGACTTATATTGGTTACAAACTGTATGGCCGTGGCAGGCTTCTTGCTAACTGTTCTTACAGCTTAAATTAATCCATTTCTATAAATCTATACCTTGCCACATGGCTCGTGGCTTACCGGCATCTTCACATGCGGCTTGTCATCATGGCGGCTGGCAGTGTCTCTCTGACTCAGCCTTCCACTTCCCAGCTTTATTCTCCTCCTTGTCCCGCCTACACTTCCTGCTTAGCCAATGGCCAATCAGTATTTTATTTATTGACTAATCAGCAACACATTTGCCATACAGAACATCCCCACACTCACAGGCTCCTGTGCATGGGAATGCATGTGTGCTGCACATCACCACACTCACAGGCTCCTGTGCATGGGAATGCATGTGTGCCACACATCTCCACTCTCACAGGTGCCTGTGCATGGGAATGCATGTGTGCTGCACATACACCACTCTCACCCATACACACAAAAGAATTAGAGAAACACTCTCTAAAAGCAAAAGCAGAATTTTATCCACTTGAAATAAATGAACCTCCGGGAATGAGGTCAGATTTATGCATATATTACTTAGGTTGAAATTTTGGGTTATAAACTTTGAATTATACTTTTCTCCCCAAAGACTTCTTTTTAGCACTGACCATAGTTCAGTGATAAATTCTAACATACTTAAATAGAAAAATATAGCCGAATGATAGAAGGGGAAAAAATAATTTTCCCTTTGTGCCCTCAATTAGTGTTTTATTACAGAGCACTGACTGACAGGTCATCAAAAATCAACCTGTTCCCTTCTTGGCTACATTTTTGTGTCCTTATTTCTTTATTCAAATTATATATTTCTGATTATCTTTTTAAATGTATTTACTTTTAGTTTTTAATTATGTTTGTTGGGTAAGCATGTATACATATGCATGGTGCCTCAAAGGCCAGAGAAAGGCATGAGATCCCCTGGAGCTAGAGCTCTGAGCTGCCTGATATGGGAGCTGGGAATCACACTCTCACCCTCAGCAAGAGCGCTACAGGCTTGTAAGTGCTGTGCCATCTCTCCAGCACACCATTCTTTAAAATATACATGTATTAATGTGTGTGTGCTTCTGTGTGTGTGTGTGTGCATGCATGCACACACGTGTGAGTGTGCACGCATGCTGTAGTGTATGTGTAGAGGTTCTCTCCTACCACGGGGGTTCTAGGGATCAAACTCAGGTCACCAGCCTTGGCAGCAATCACCTTTATTTACTGAGGCCGCTTGTCAGCCCTGCACTTCCATATTTCATTGTTCTAGTAATTGAATAGTTATAGTGAGCAATAAATACGTTCTGAAGGCCAGACATTAACTGGAGAAATGGAATTATGTATGTGTGTGCACATGCATGTCCAAGCAAGTGTATGAAGCATGTGTGTCACGTAGATTAATTTTGACTTTTTTTTTTCAGAACAAAATACATTTAATAAATACCTGATTGTAAATCTAGCGACCTTCCATAACCGTAGACTCATTTCAGGCATAACTAGCCAGTGAAGCGATGTGGTCTTATAAGGAATTCATACACTATACAGTGTTGGCAGAATAACACTGGAAACTGTGTATTTATTTCCATTTTCTATTGCCTAAAAGCACGAACTCTTAATGTTGTTTGAAGTTGTATTGTGAACACATGGCTCTTGCTAGTCAGATGGTACAATTCGGCAGGAGTTCACCAGGCACTTTCTGATTTAGTGTGACAGTGAAATGGCCCCCAACAGCCCTGTCTGTTTTCTTCTGACACACAGTCCAGGGGCAGATATGTGTTAGTTTGTGAGTCCACGTCACAGCTACTGCTACAGCGAAGTCCTTTTGCTAGTAACATGGACATTAAGAATCTAGTTGTGAGTTAAGAGCTAGCACATTCATTTTTGAAGATTCAAAAGTGTCTCCTCCATTTAAACAATTTCTTTTTTCAGGCAAGAAAAATTCTACACAGTCTCTGCCCTGAGACATTTAGGATGCATTTGGCACTAGCTGCTGCCTCAAAGGCTTGGGTCACAGTTCTCCTGAGTGGCAAGTGCTTGGGGGTGTCTAGAAAGGCATTCAGGCTGCTGGGCACCTTCAGGAGCTGAGGTGTTGGTCTCTGCATCCTGGATTTACAAGTAGTCCAGCACCAACACTCTTGTGATTGAACCTATGGGAATGAGGATGGTTTTCTTTTGAGATAAGATCATGTAGCCTCAGCTGGCCTTGAACTCCTGTTCCTCCTGACTCCACCTCCCCAGTGCTGGAATAACCAGTATTTGACACCACACCTAAGTTTCTGTATTTTCTGTTTGTGTCTTGACATAATACATGCCGTTCCTCGTACTGTCTGTTCATTGACTATTTTCACACCAGTTTATAGAACTAAGGAGCTCTGACACCGGGAAGGAGGGAGGGAGGGAGTCATGGCCCTCCCGACGCTCATTCCTCTTTCCTTTGACAGCAACAAGGCGTTCGGATTTTCATAATGCTTTACAAAGAGGTGGAGCTAGCCCTCGGAATCAACAGCGAATACAGCAAGAGGACTTTGATGCGGCTGCACCCCAACATAAAGGTACCGGGTACCAGTTCTCACTGTCCCACAGGAGCCTTTTCCATATAGATTCCCTTACTCTTCATTTTTGAATGAACAGCATCAAACCCTCAGAAATGCAGTGTTATACTGTCTTGTTTTGCTTTTCTTAGCATACAAAAGGATGAGTATTTCACACCTTGTTCCCTCCCCATTCCCTTCGCACAGCCTCCTGCTCCCCTTCCCTTCGTCCTCCTAGCTCCCTTTATTTTGCTTTTATGTCACATGTATTTCCATACCCTCTTCCCCTCCCTGTTCCCTTCAGACTTCTCTTCCCCTCTCACAATCCCGTTTCAGTTTCTTGACCCTACGCACACCCTATAGATGTGCACATTTATGAATGTTTAAATCTAGGATCCACACATGAGAGAAAACATTTGGTATTTGTCTTTCTAGGTCTGGGCTACTTTACTTAACACAATAGTTTGCTTTTCCATCATTTTTCTGAAAATGTCATTGTTTCATTTGTTACTACTAAATAAAATTCTATCGTGTATACATACCACATAGTCTTTATTTATCTATTGATGGGCATCTGGATCAGTTCCATTTGCTTGCCTTTGTGAATAGAACAGCAATACACATGGATGTACAAGAATCTGTGTGGTGTGACTTAGCTCTGTATATACCCAAGAGTACAGCTGAGCCCCATGACAGTTTTAATTTTAGTTTCTTCCCTTTCTTTCTTTCTTTCTTTCTTTCTTTCTTTCTTTCTTTCTTTCTTTCTTTCTTTCTTTCTTTCTTTCTTTCTCTCTCTCTCTTTCCTTTCTTTCTTTCTTTCCTTCTTTCTTTCTTCCTTCCTTCCTTCCTTCCTTCCTCCCTCCCCCCTCTCTCTCTCCCTCTCTCTTTCTTTCTATCTCCCTCTCTCTCTCCCCCTTCTTTTCTTCCTTCCTTCTTTCTTTTTTTCCTTTTTTTTTTTTTAACACGATCTCACTATGTGGTCTGATTGGCCTGGAGCGCTCTCTGTAGACTGGGCTGGCCTCTGACTCTCTAGGCTTAGCTTCCTAGAGAGACCTCCACCCTGGTTTCCACGGTGGCTGTACCAGTTTACCCACTAGAGTGACTGAAGCTCCTCTCTCCCCACACGCTCTCCAGCATTTGTTGTTTGTTTTCCCAGCTCTTCCACCCAGCCAAGATGGAATCTTCAAATGGTTTTGTATTTCTTGGATGACTAATGATGCTGAATGCTTTAAAAAAAATTTTTTCTGAGACCTGTCTGTTCAGCTGAAATAGTTCCTTATACTCCCTCTGTTGATGGGAGTGAGTAGAGCTTACATCTCTCAACCTAACCCTGATAACTGAAAATGAAAGTTGAGCAAAGAACTTGCTTCCTGCACTGTTTTATCGAGTTCTGTCTGCTCTCCACGCTGCCAAACCACTTGGACATAAAGTCACCACCCAGTTCTCTGATTGCTGATAGCATTAAAGAGACTTCTTCTAGGATTTGAAATTCTGTAGATTTTTAGACCAACAGTATCTAGTGTGAAATATTTGGAAAAGCTCCTTGAAATCTCATTAGACCTAAAATCGATTGATAAATATCATTCAGCCATTAAGTCACAAGACTTACTCTCTAGCAGGCTTAAAATATGTAACAACTATGTATCTCACTTGGTTAAAAACCAGCCAAGAGGATAAGAGGATAAGTCACCTTGCAGCGTCTCAACACTCATTTACCAGGTGTGATTTTGTGACATTAGCAACGGAAAAGAATACAACAAATTGTGGTGTCTCAGAAAATGGAATTACCTCAAGACCCAGTGTAGTTGGAAGTTTTTCTATGTCCTGCCCAGTCCTGCAGCCGCTCAGACCCAAGTAAACACACAGAGGCTTATATTATTTTTAATCTATGTGGTCCAATGGCTCAGGCTTCTCACTAGCTAGCTCTTACATCTTAAATTAATCCATTTCTATAAATCTCTACCTCGCCACGTGGCTTGTGGCTTACCGGCACTTTTTATCTTGCTTTTCCTGGTGGCATCTGCTTCATTGTTCTTTCTCCTCCCACTGTCTCTCTTGGATTTTCCCACCTGGCTCCATCCTGCCCTGCCATAGGCCAATGTAGCTTTATTTATCAACCAATCAGAGCAATACATATTCACAGCATACAGAAAGATATCCCACAGCAACCCAGTTATCCCACTCCTGGGCATATACCCGATTCATCCTACCACAAGGACACATGCTCACCTATGTTCATAGCAGCTTTATTCAGTATAGCCAGAAACTGAAAACAACCTAGATGACCCTCAACTGAAGAATGGATAAAATGTGGCACATTTACACAATGGAGTATTACTCAGCTGTTAAAAAAACAATGCCATCATGAAATTGGTTAGCAAATGGATAGAATTAGAAAAAATTCATCCTGAGTGAGCTAACCCAGACCCAGAAAGACAAACATGGTATGTACTGACTTATATATAAGTGGATATTAGTTGTTAAATAAAGGATAATCATGCTATAATCCACAGACCCAGAGACACTAAGTAACAAGGAGGGTTCATGGGGGGATGCATGGATCTCCCTGGGAAGGGAGATAGAATAGATTTCATGAGTGGACTGGGGGTGTGTAGGGATGGGAAAAAGGAGGAGTCGGGTGTGGGAGAGATGGAGGGAGAGAGTGTTGGGAGAGGCAATTGGAATGGGAGGGCATTTTGGGGTGAGGTGTTGTTACTTTCTTGTTGGACTATCTTCAGATAGCCAGCTCCCAAATAATGACACAAAGACTCCTTATTAATTACAAAAGCCTTAGCTTAGGCTTTTTCTCAACTAGCTCTTATAACTTAAATTAATCCATATTTTTTAATCTACATTCTGCCACGGGGCTTGTTACCTCATCTCCATACTGCACCTCCTGCTCCCCCTGTGTCTCACTGGTGAGTACACCTTTCTTCTTCCCAGAGTTCTCCATCTGACTGGAAGTCCTGCCTATTCTCTCCTGCCTAGCTATTGGCCATTTAGTTTTTTATTGTACCAATCAAATGGCATCTTGGGCAGAGACACATCTTTACAGTGTAAACAAACATTCTGAAACAGTGAGGTAAAAACCCAGTGCAATGGAAACTCCCTGCAATCTACTAGGGTAACCCTCGTGAAGAAATGGAGGTGGAGGAGAAAGAAAGAAAAATAAGAAAAAATACAACAAATGACACCATCAAGGACATGAAAAAGCAAACCACAGAAGAGGAGAAAATATTTACAAATCATAGATCTGAGAAGCGGTGTGTTTCTAGCCTATACAGAGTCCTTGTACAATTCAACCATTAGAAGACAATTTAAAATGAGCCAAGGCCCTGAACAGACACTACAGAAGATTCCAATGGCCAAACCATTAAACATTACTAAGAATCAGGAAAATGCCAGTCAAAACTCGAGTGAGATGCTACCTCACACCCACTAGGCCAGCTGTAATCAGCGGTCAGGTAATAGCTAGTATTGCTGAGATGATAGAGAGTATACATGTTGATGGAGTGAATAATAGTACAGTCACTTTGGAAAACCATCTGCTAGCTCCTCAAAAGTTAGGGGTACAGTTACCATAGGATCTAGCAATTGGGCCTCTAGGTCTGCACCCAAGAGAAGTGAGACCAAGATCTATGTACAGACTCACATGGACATGTGCTAGCCACAGTGCTCGTGACAGCTAACAGGCATGGACAACTGAAATGCTAGGCAGATAATAAACAGAGGAACAGAACTCCGCTCTTTGTTGTTCAGCCGTAGACATGCATGGACTTCTGAAAAAGATCCCCAACAGGGAGGAGCTCCTAGAACATTACAGGAAGGAAGCTGTCAGATGTGGTGTAGTGGCTCATCCCTGTGATCTCAGTGCTTGGGAGGCCGAAGCAGAAGAAGAATTGCCGGAAGCACAAGACCAGTCTAGGCTATGTCCTGAATTCTAGATCAGCCAGGGCTGCTTAGCGAGACCCTCTCAGAAAGGGGGGGTGTGGTGAGGGAAAGGAGAGAGAGAGAGAGAGAAGAATATGCACTGCATGTCATGTGGAAGTAGGGGATCTTATCTGGGGTCAGGAAGATGGTCAGCAATAAAAGGGAAAGAGAATCAACAAGAACAATGTGTGACATTTACGTATAAAACCTTCATCAGGGAACCTATCATTCTGTATGCTAACTTAAAAAATAAAATTAATCCAGGTAGTAATGGTGCGCTCCTTTAATCCCAGCATTTGGGAAGCAGAGGCAGGTGGATCTCTGAGTTCAAGGCCAGCCTGGTCTACAGAGTGAGTTCCAGGACAGCCAGAGCAACACAGAGAAACCCTGTCTCAAAAAACCATAAATAGATAAAATTTTAAAAGTTTTAAAGGAAGAATTCAGGCTGACGTGGTGGCGCACCTCTTTAATCCCACCACTCAGGAGGCAGAGGCAGGGGGATCTCTGTGTGTTTGAGGACAGCCTGGTCTATATGATGAGCTCCAGACTAGCCAGACCTACATAGTGAGCCTCTGTTGGAGGAGGAGAAGACATCAAATTTGTCCTTAGAGTCAAAGGAAAATAAAAGAACATATCAAAGCTCATAGGACTTAGCAAAAACAGTGTAAAGGGGAGATGCTTAGAGCTTTGAGTTCTTCATCAGAAAAGAGATAAGGTCCCCAAATGTCATTTAACTTCCAAGTAAGGAGCCAGACAAAGGAGAACAAAGGAACCCTAAAGACAGCAGGAGGAAGGAAATCCAGATGAGAACACAGATGTGGCACAAAGAGAACAGGGAAAAAAGAAAAAGAAAATCGGTGACCAAAAGTTGGTTCTTAGAAGGATTGACCAGTTAAAGCCTCTAGTTTCTGAAGACAAGACGTGAAGGTGGAGCCAGCATGAAAAGTCCACAGTGACAGGAAGGATTCTAAGATTAATGTGAACAGAGGCATGCTGGGTAACCAGGTGAACCACACAAAACCTGCCAGAGCTAGTCCAGAAGAAGGTATAAGATCTGGATGGGCATAGCTAGGTAGGAGATTGTGATCAGCAGCTGAAAAACCTCTTCCATGGGAAAAGTATGGGGTCCTTGTGATTCCATCATGGTGCCCTGATGAGTTCCACCCAGCATTTAAAGAAGCGCTAATACCAGTCATTCTCAAGATTGGCTAGCTCAATACCTTGGTAAAACTGCACATCAAAACTGGTGATGTGGTAAATTTTGTGTTTTATGTATTCTACTACAGTAAATAAAAGTATAAGCCAACATTTTTGTGTCTTCCTACTTACAAACATCAACATAAGAGAGGTCCAATAGGATCATGTAGGGAATCATCCTGAAAGCAGCTTCTCAGCATTTCCAAGCACTTTCACATAAGGAGCTGTCCAGGTATCTGTGTGCTCATATCATTGGAGTACAAATATAATTTATTAAACGTCTTTCCATAAATGCATGTTGGCTAAGTATTTTAATTACTTATTTATTAATTTATTTATGCCAAGGGTAACTATTGGAGGGGATGGAAAGAGCACTCTAGCTGCTAACTTGATCTAGCCTTAATGATTGCCCTTCAAGTCAAATGCCAGCTCCCTTAAACCACCTCACCTGGCTGAGGACTTAAACCAGAAGAGGGTCACGTGGGGGCCCACGCTTGGAATGCCAGAGACAAGAGGATCTCAAGAGACCAGCCAGGTTAGTCCTTAAAAAAAGAAAGGAAAGAAGGAAGGAGAAGAAAAGAAAAGAAAGGAAAGAAAAAACTGGATAGAAGTCTTTCTCTGAATGAAATTTGAAGTTTGAGGGACTTTCTTAGGCATATGTAGAACACATTTTTGTACCTGAATTATTTTTTTAAATGTTTACAGGGAGAAAGCAGACCTATTTTATTGTGATGTAACGGACATTTATAAACCACATTTTTGTGGATTTCTCCAGGTGATGAGGCACCCAGACCATGTGTCATCCAGTGTCTATCTGTGGGCTCATCATGAGAAGCTTGTCATTATCGACCAATCGGTGGCTTTTGTGGGTGGGATTGACCTCGCCTATGGAAGGTGGGATGATGATGAACACAGACTCACAGATGTGGGCAGTGTGAAGCGAGTCACCTCAGGACTGTCCATGGGCTCTCTCACAGTAAGTACCTGTCACCTTTGTGGGACAGCACAAAACTGACAGGCTTGTCTAAACCCATGAATAGCATGACTGACCCTGTAATTCAGAGGTGGCATCCGAGAGGTGTGATGGACATACCCACTAGCCTGCTCTACCTGCCTAACCCGGAACCCAGCTTCGTTCGGCTTCTCTCCCACAGGGAGAGAGAGCGTGAGGTCGGTATAGCGGTTTAGCATATGCTATCTCAATCAGCTCCCTGGTTTTCTATTCAAAGTAGGGATTTAATTTTCTATTTGAGAGAAGGTGTTCATGAACAAAAATGTGTGACAGTTGGTACTTAGGTTAAATAAGAATGAGAAGCCCATCCCAGGAAGCTTCCAGAGCTTCGTTTTGTGCACTTCACTTATAAGAGTGTGTGCATTTGTTTTTAGCATTTTCCTACTTACGGATGCAAAAATCACCAGATCAGTCTGGGGTCACTCAGAGTGAACTGCAGCAGGAAGTTAACTAATAACTTCTCAGAGTCCCTGCTAATCAAGAGCTGCCAGAACGCTTGTTCTGGGTTTCAGCTCTCCACTGCCAAAATGCAGTGTCCTTATTCAAAGATGTCACGGGCTCTTCTTACTTACTGATGGTTACGTTGTGCTGGCTTCTGAGGGTTGAGAGGAAGAGCAATGTACTGCCTAGACACATGGGTTAGCTTTTTTCATCGAAGTGACCCAAGGCTGGACAAGTGACATAAGGGCGGTGAGGCTGCTTGGCCACAGGTTAGGTGCAGTCCATGCTGCTGAAGGTGTGGAGGCAGGAGCTGGACTCCTGCCCATCCCATTCCAACTGCAGTGAGGAAGCTCGGGGAAGACAAGCCCTCAAACCTCAAGGCTCTCCCCCAGTGATTCGCCTCCCCCAGCAAGGTTCCACCTCCTAAAGCCTTCCAAAACACTGCCACCAACTAAGTGTTCAAACAGCCTGTGGGGGACATTTCTCGTTCAAGCCACAGCATTGGGCAACAAAGAAAATGATTGACAGAGGAAGTCAGTTCATCAGAGAAGTTGTGTAGTTTAACAGTGGATTTAAATAGTGTAATTAGTGTGAGGGAAAAGGGTCAGTGAATGAAATTTTGAGAATTTTAACTAGGTGTGGTGGCACGCACCTTTAATCTCAAAACGTGGGAGGAAGAAGCAGGTGGATCTCTGAGTTTGAGACCAGCCTGATCTACATAGAAAGTTCCGGGACAGCCAGGGCTATGTAGAGAGACTCTATCTCAAAAACAAAATAAAAACAGAAGAATCTGACTGCAAATCCACCACCACCCCATGGCTGACCTGAGACTCTATGGTGAGTTTGTTCTGAGGGAACCACCACTGTCTGTAAAGCTCCTCTCAGCTCTACTGAAGTGAAAGCCCATTACATGTCACACATTTTTTTTAATAACTTTCTCAGGCAGCAACAATAGAGTCTACGGAATCCTTAAACCTCAAGGATAAACATGAATCTCATAAAAACGAGCCCAGCATGAAGAGTACAGATGAAACAGACGGCAAGCTGAAAGGGATAGGAAAGCCCCGGAAATTCTCCAAGTTTAGTCTCTATCGGCAGCTGCACCGTCGCCATCTGCACAACTCGGACAGCGTCAGCAGCATCGACAGCGCCTCCAGTGAGTCTCGCCTTTGCTGGACCGTCTCGAGGCTGTGCTGTGAGCCTCGCAGCCGGGCCTTGGCCGACCTGCTTTTAAAAAATCTGTGGTGGCATTCAGTGAGTAACGCCTCAAGATGGCCATGCCGTCCCTTGTGACACCACGGCACCTCTGGCACTGTTTGTATTTTGAGACAGGGTCTCACGTACCCCAGGCTGATCTCAAACTCACTATGTGGTAGAGACTGATCTTGGGCTCCTGTCCATCCCAGTCTGGATCACAAGCAGGCACTGAGATGCCTGTTTTATAAGGTTCCGGGATTAAACCAAGGGCTCTCTCTGTGCATGTAAGCAAGCACACTACCAATTGAGCTCCATGTCTGGTTTCCTTTGCCTCATTTAGAAACGTATTTAATATCAATACAAAGTAGTCATAACGACCACTGTTGAAACTTTCGATGGTCCCATAATGACTAAAGCTTTCTAAAATATGACACACTATAAAGGGAAAAGGAAGGCCTTAGGTGTACTTTACAAACCTTTTGTAGAAGAAATGTATTTCTCTTTTCATCCAGAAATATATCAGTAGACATCAGATATTCTCTATCTTATGAATTGACTATTCTTTGCAAATCTTGCTTAGAGCTCTGTGATTTTCTATCACACTAGCTCTCATGGCTGTTTCTGTAGACCTGTTTATTTTAAAAACGATTAAGCTTGCTTTCAAGTTTAGAAAATTTTATATAGATATATACATATATATGTAAACGTTTCCTTGTAAAACAAAAAAGAACTCTCAACTTTCTCCAGGTTATTTTAACCACTATAGAAGTCACCAGAATCTAATCCATGGTTTAAAGCCCCACTTGAAACTCTTTCGCCCTTCTGGTGAGTCCCGGCAGGGGCTCACTGGGCACAGCACTGGTAAGTGACTTGCTAGTCAGAAGCCCACGGGCTTCAGCTTCTGTTGCTTCCTCTGCTGTGTGAGCACAGTGAGTGTGTGTTCAGAACGGCTTTCTGCTCAGTCTTCGTGTCCCATGATAGGTAGGACCTGTTCCATGTAAGTGCAAGCTCTGTGCTTCTGAGAACCTACACTCCAGTGGTGGAGAGAAGAAAACGTGCTGAGCAGCCCTGTAGCACAAGGCATGTATTCACAAGCACACACACACACACACACACACACACACACACACACACACACACACACACAGAGTTCTGTGCAAGGCGGAAGGACTTCCTCTTACTGACCCAGAGAGATGTTTCGAGTAGGGAGCTTGTCCACTGGGTCTGACAGTGGCTTGAGGGGTAGGTGGGGACGGGAAGCTTGAGGGGTAGGTGGGGACAGGAAGCTTCAGAGGTAGGTGAGGACGGGAAGGTGTTGCAGGTGAAGGGAATGATCCCAGCAAAGGCCCTGAGGTGGAAAAGACCAACATTTTCCCAGTTAACAGGAAATGCCACTTTTGGCTGAGACGTGGTGACTGGTGTTAAGAGGCCACACTTGGGGTACAGAGTCCCCGAGAAAGTGGGGAAAATATGACTTCATTTGTTGAAAAAATCGTGAAGGTTTTGGTAGAGCTATCATGTTTTCCACAGGATGAGTTAGAAAATGTTGTCTGATACCTTTTATGAGAAGAATTTATCAGGGCCTAAATTATTTGGCAACTCCTCTGACCTAAGGATGAGGAATTAGCACAATAAACCAGCAGCTGAGTGCTCAGCTGCTCCCACACTGCCCTGGATGCTTGCAATGCCTGACAGGAATATTGTCTCCTTGTCACAGATGAGAAAACTTGCCCCGGATGGCCAGAGACTCCCTTGCCCAGTGTAGTCCCAGTTCACCAGAGTCCTCGTGCTCCGTATTTACATGTGAAACTTAGCAGAAATGCAAACACCCCGTCCATTTGACCTTGGCTTGACCCCAAGGCTAAGATTTTATTCTGCTAGATTAGGATGTTGGAGTCCAGCTGACAGGCGGGATGAATCTCCAGGGGACCTGACTAGTAGGGCTGGAACTTAGTGGCTCCAACATTCTTTAGGAATCCAGCTTTCAAATTGTTTTAAATTCTATGTGTTTAGTTTTGTGTGTATATATGAGTGTGCCTAGGTTATTATGGTGACTGTGTGGAGGTCAGAGGTCAGAGGTCAGAGAGCAACTTGTAGGAGCTGGTCTTCTCTTTCCACTAAGTGGGGCCAAGGGACTGAACTCAGGTCTCCAGGCTTGGTAGCAAACACCTTTATCTGCTGAGCCATCACATGGACCCAGACACAGCAATTTTTAAAATGCATTAACTATATGAAATGAACCAAAGCTCAGTGTAACTGTTAATCTTGTAAATTCTAACACTATTGATACCCAATTAAAAATAGGAAACATTATACGGGAGATGTCTTAGTTATTTAACGTAAGGCTAGTTCTTGATTGGCATATGAATTTAGCGACAACTTTCATTTATGTCTGTGCCTGTGTGCACCTCAACGTTCTGAAGTCTGGAAGCTTTCGGGTTACCGAGGGGACAGAGACAGGTACCTGCAGCTGTAAATATTAAGAAACATTCTCAATTAAGCAGGCCTGGAGAGTGGCCATTCTGGTGTTGTGTGTTTGCTGCTTTATAAGTGAGGTTCAAAGTGGAATAGAAGAACGAGGTTACTAAAGTGTGAAAGGGTCTGCCCCTTGACAGTCAGTGGGGTACACAGGGCGGAGGAGGGGCGGGGAGGAGGGGAGCAAGTGGAACTGAGGCACATTGGGCCAACCCTGGCTGAGGGTGTGAGACCCACTGTGATGCTGCTGGGAAGTGGCCTTGACAAGCATTTACAGTCTCCTCCACTCACTGACTGGAGACATGTTTATTTTAAGAGAAAAGGAGGAAGTAAACAACTCAAATTTTAGCCTCTGAGAATGATAAGGAAGTAGGGGGTTGGGTCATCCTTAATGAGACAGAGCAGCCATTAAAGCAGAAACTCACATTGTTCTTTACAGACTTATTTTAACTCTAATCATGTGTATATTTGTGGTGGATGCAGGAAGCCAAACTCGGGTCCCCTGAAATAACAGCATGCACTCCTAACCGAGCCAGCTCTCCAGCCCCCTTGCATGCTTAATTGAATAAATGTGTACTGAGCGCCTATGACATGCCAACCACCGTCCTAAGTACTATGAATGAAATTAAGGTAATAAGGATGGGTATTACACACACAGACCGTTGCTTGTAGTATATCAAGCAGTGATAATTATTACAGTGGAGACCAATGGTGTGAAAGCAGAGGGGTGAATTACTCTTCTTAAATAACCTGATTAGCCGGGCGGTGGTGGCGCACGCCTTTAATCCCAGCACTCGGGAGGCAGAGCCAGGCGGATCTCTGTGAGTTCGAGGCCAGCCTGGACTACCAAGTGAGTTCCAGGAAAGGCGCAAAGCTACACAGAGAAACCCTGCCTCGAAAAACCAAAAAAAAAAAAAAAATAACCTGATTAAAGAATGATACTCTTATGGGTTGAGTTTGAACTAGAGATCAAAAAGAGAGGAGGAGGAGAATAAGAAACTCTGGGGAGGTGTCCTAAGCAGGAACAACGGCAAATTCAAAGAGCCCAAGGCAGGGGAATGATTGGGATGTTCTAGAAATGTGGAGATGGGAATGTTAGAAAAGCAAGAAGGTGGGGACTGGATGGATTATAAGCAGCTTTGTAGGCTACTGTAAGAATTTCATCTCTGGGGAAGTCCGTGGGTCGTGCTAATGTACAGATAGCCACATGGAAGGGACTCCCAGGAGGCCTTGCCGTGCGTGCAGAGGCCAGTATGCAGGGGCAGGGTACAGGTGTGAGGGGTCCCTGCAGGTGTCCAGGCAGGGGAGTGAACTACAGGAAGAGATAAGTATGAAATCCAGGTGCAGGCTGACTTTGTGAACCTGGATCAGATTCTGGGGAGTCTAAAAAGTGACAGTTTCTCTCCAGTGTACTTAAGCACAGGATAATTTGGAAAAAAAAAGTTTCTTGATGGAATAAAATCCCCTGTGCACAAAGAAGCATAATTACATTGAAACTCAACTCAGGGCACACTTCATTTCCTCCAAGAAGATGGGTTCTAGAGATAGGCTGCCTGTACTAGCTTAAGGACCTAAAGTTCTGGCCTGGTCTGGTCAAACAGAGAGTGTAGAGGTCATTTGGGCTATTAGCCACCATCTGGTCCTAATTGTGTGAGTTCCGGGGAGCCTCTGGCTATAAGGGTCATTTAGATTCCTAGTCACTTGCAGTCTTGGTTGTAGGACTTCATACGGCCTGGTAACACAGGTAACACAGATCACCCCCTGTTTATCACTCCCAATTCTCAGCTTTCTGGATGGAAGAACAGGTTTTTCATCTTTCTTACTGGAAAGACAATCCTGTGTGCTTAGCATTCCAGGTTTCTCTGGAGATCTGTGGGCACAAGGGCCTTCTTGCTGTGCTTCTAACACAGGCGAGATCACTGCAGGGTTTAAGCAGAAAGACTGCGCTAAACTTAATTCCTCTTAATGAGGTCAGTAACCATGGCAGATTCTGTAACAAGTATTTTAATTCAAAGAGCATTCAGCCACCCTCATGGATTTTTTGCTTTGTTTTGTTTTTGTTTTTGAAACAGGGTTTCTCTGTGTAACAGCCCTGGCTGTCCTGGAACTCACGTTGTAGACCAGGCTGGCCTTGAACTCACAGCCTCAAGGATTTTTTTTTTTTTTGTCTTTTCAGAATTATGTTCTAAGGATGGTCACAGGTTTCTATTGCTTTGCCTGACACTATTTTAAATACAGATTGGATTCCTCTTATATTTGGGAAGCATTTGCTGAGCTTTCCTTTGTAAGTAATACTGAGCAGATCAGTCAGCAGGATTTCACATTGATGGGGTGGTAATGGTAAGTTAAGGCTTCTCCAGACTTCTCTGGGCTGCAGTGCACTGGGTGCATAAGATGCCATGTTCCCTCAAGAAGCTTAGCTCAGGCAGGCATGGTAGCTGTAGCTGCAGTCTCAGCATTTGGGGAACAGGGGCAGAGGACTGTGGCAAACCTGAGGCCAGCCTGGCTTCCATAGTGAGTTTGAAGCCAGCGAAGTCCAGATAGGTCTTGTCTGAAAACAAAACAAGACAAAAAAGAAAACCAGCTTACTGTCTGATAGCTGATTGTGAAATAGTTTGAAATGTTTTACTGATTAGCACGGTGGTCAGCACTCTTGCTGCAGGTGAAACCTTCTTGACAGACTCCAGACAAGGTCACGACCCCTCACACACACTTGGAAATCTAGAAAGCTTGAAGACTGAACATTTTCAAAAACACATAACTCATTCAGGACCTGGATTGGAACTACCCTCGGATATGAATATAGATTGAAAATGTAGGGTATTGAGAATGTAGCTCAGTGGTAGAGGCCTTGCCTAGCACTCATGAGGCCCTAACACTGCAAAAGACTTGGAAGGTAGAGAGTGAGAAAGGAGAGAACAGCTGTTTTGGGATAATGTTCTATCTTAGGGCACAGATTTGAAAATGAATACTAAAAGAACTTATTTTCAGTTCTCAAACTTAGGTATGAAGTGGGACAAATCCACAGAGGTCTACAAGAAACCCTGGAGTCAGACGTGGTCCAGAATCTAGAACGTGCTGGGATATAGAAAAGTGATGCCATGTCCACAGCCTGTGTTATGTGGCACTTCCAGCAGGCTCCAGCAGTCCAGGGCATGTGAGCAAACTCTGCATATTTACATATATGTCCTGAGTGGTACAATGCAGTCAGGATAACTTCACGTCAGTTCAGGTCAGCTTCTGATAAAACATGAACCGTGAACACACCATTGGGCTTTTAGAGTTTGGGAACTGGGGAGTTGTGGATTCCTACTGTTAGGTCTGGGATCATGAAATAAGGGAGGACAGACCGCCAGAGTCTATTAAAACAGGAGCAGACTTTATTCCAGAAAAAACAGAGATAGAAAAGAAAATCACCCCGGGGCACAAAAGCTTATCAGCTAGCTGAGACCACAGCCAGGGTTCGAGATTTTGAGGCTGTGGCCCTTTGAGGCGGGTTCTGGCCCCTTTTTTATAGCAAGAAGTAAGCATTAGGCATGGACAAAAGAATTTTTACAATTCTGAAGAACTTTTAGAGACAAATTGCTTTTCAGGTTTTACAATTTTCCATTAACAAGGTTTTAGAGGGTTTCATCTAAATGATGTTTGTATATCCCTGTAGCCCTTCCTGACACAGTTAATTGATGATTGTCTAAACCTGCAATTTTTCCGGACATAGCTGAGTTCCCAGAGTGGGAGGAATACGAAGCAATGCAAAACAGGTTGTCACGGAGAACTCGTTAAAAGTTAACTTTGGTTTCCGAAATAAGTGGTAGGGGGTTACCAAAAAATACATAACCCCAAGACTACAGAGGGCAATCTTTAGTTTAAAAAAACCTAACATTTGGGTTGCTGACACAGCTGCCCATCATAAAACACGGAAGGGCCCAGTTAAAGGTTAATCCCCATTTGCTAGCGAAGCTGACGGCTGTCGGCTTCCATCTCTTAAGCTTATAATTTTTTATTTCTATATTTTTATCTTATTCCTATATTTCTGGACTTTGTATAGACTGGGCTGGTGGAGTCTGTCTAGGTCAACTATGGAGGCTCCAGTGAGTCAGGTTGAAATCTTCTAATTCAAAAAGTGCTGGAGAACACCATGGTGGGGTGTAGCTGAAGTTTTCCTGTGTCCTGGCCAGTCAGCAGTCAGGACAAATCTCTCTCACCTGCCAGTCCTGCAGCCACTCAGACCGAAGTAAACACAGAGAAGCGTATATTAATTACAACTGCATGACCATGGCTTAGGCTTTAAGCTAGCTAGCCCTATATCTTTTTATTTATTTATTTATTTATTTATTTATTTATTTATTTATTTATTTAATTTTTTGCTGAATGTCATTTATTGAAGGAGGGAAGAGGTCTTAAATACAGGCTTATAGCACAATGGGAGAACCCCAGAGGGCAAAAGTTCGCTACCGATGTTTTGCAATCTTGCATCTAAGCTGTTAATGCCCATTATGCAGGGTACACAGACAAGGAACTTCCCTTAAGCATTCAGGAGGGTGGAACCCAGCAGGGAATTAGCATAGGGAGGATATCAAGGTCAAGGTCAGCAAGCAAGGCAACAGTTATCCAAAATGGGGACCAGGACCCTACAGGTCCCCCTTTTACTAGAAAATGAGCTTCTGACTTAGGTTGCGTGGGACGTCAGCAGGTCACCTTACCTGTCATGCCCAGGCCACACAGGCGCTCTGTCTTAGGTTGGTGAGCGACCCCCAGGCATTACCCGTCTCTGAATACTCATTATCATACAGGCTCAATCGTGTGTGAGCTGCAGAGTTAACTGCTGCCAAAGATCTCAAAGTGGTGCTGTAGCCCTATATCTTAAATTAGCCCATAACTATTAATCTATGTATCGCCACATATCCTATGGCTTTACCTGTGTGCCATTACATGCTGCTCCTTGGATGGCAGGCTGGTGTCTCCTGACTCAGCCTTCCACTTCCCAGAATTCTCCTTGTCTGTTTATCCTGCCTATACTTCCTGCCTGGCTACTGGCCAGTCAGTGTTTTATTTATCAATAATAATAGTAATAATAATAATAATAATCAGAGCAACACATTCACACATACAGAACATCCCACTGTAGTGGAGGAGGTGGTGGTGGTGGTTAAAGGTAAAGATTCTTTGAAGGATATACTTGATGTAAAAGGATCCAACTAGGTTGTGCCAATGTGCTCAAGACTGAGGTAGATGGAAATTTCCTGAGGAATGATCAGACTATTCTTATGGTTTCAGAAGTGGTGATGGGAGGAAGATAGTTGGGCAGAGTAGTGGAGAGCAGCACAGAGGCCTGAGAGGCTAGAACTGAGTTACCCATGGAGGGATTGATGCTGCATGATGCTGGCAATTTTAGTGTTAGGTGTGACAAAAAGAGGTGACCACAGCAAGGCCTGGAGACTCCTGGCAAGAACAGAAGATGCCCTTCTGCAAACTTTGGCTGCTGGCAGACAAGGGCGTAGAGAACTGGTACAGGGCACCAAGGAGAAGAGACACAATTGTGATGATGTCATTTGGGAGCCAGATGTGGTACTGGTGTGCCTGCTCACAGCTGTCCATGTGTGCACAGCTGCCTCTGTGTGTCTTGAGGAGGACTGCGTCCTCAAGAGGAATAGTTGAGACTTGGCTAGAAACAAAAGCATATTTGAATTGTGGGCATATGAATTCAGTTACTGTCAAGGTTGTTTTCTGAGACTAGAAATTTACTTTCGTTTTTGTTTTTCAAATGATAACCACCTATCATAATATTTCAACAAGTGTATGGGTGCCTGTGTTAGAATCTTAGCTTCATTTCTCAAGTTGATGAAAATATATTTATACATACATATAAATACAACTAATACTGTATCTCAAACTTAATAGTTACATTTGTATCTCTTAATGTTTTCCTACAATGTGGGGGTGGGGGTGCACCCATGCGCATGTGGCATGGCAGGCCTGTGGTGACTAGAGAACACCTTGAGGGAGTCAGTTCTTTCACCGTGTGAGCCCTGGGATTGATTCAGGGCCCCGGGCTCAGTTGCAGGGACCTTTGTCTACACAGCCAGCTCTCTGTTTCTGTGTGTTGTCAGTTTGGGATTGACTCATCATTTATTTTATAGTCTCACTCTCTGTCCCTCCTTACTTACCTCCCTATCTCAAGTCTCCCTTCCCAACAAGATCCATGCTTGCTATGAAGAGCCTGCAGGGTAGCCTGCAGCCCACACATGCTCTTTCCTTTCAGGTGTGCACAGCAGGAAAGCCAACAGCTGGGAGAGGATAATAGAGGTCTGCTTTAAGCAATAGTTGCTTTTGTTGACATTGACACTTTAAACCATTTTTCATTCAGTATACTTAGTGACCTTTGGAAAGTTAATTATTAATTTTAAGATAGAATATTAGGTGTGTGGTGACTGCATAAAAGTATTTGTTCTGCAAACATTTATTAATTACTTCCTGGATACTGGGAGCTACAGCAGATGGTGAAGGGTTATGGTGCTGACTCTGAGGAGGGAAATCCACTCAGCGTTTGATGCAGTTGCATGGCCTGGTCAAAGGCCTGGGGAGGGCATTTCCGGACAGGACGACATCAGTGCTGGTGATGCCACTCCCTGAAGGGGTCTGCTCTGTCTCTCTTGAGGTTGGGATGATGTGGCCTATAACGAACGACTAAGAGATCAGGCCAACGGGAGGGAAGAGCACTGTACACAGATGGGTAACACGCAAGCTGCAGAGAGGCAAGGCGGATCAGCCCGTAAAGTAGAGTGAAAAATAAGGCATGTTGAAGCCTGGGGCCAAGCGAAGGGAAGACGGGGAAGAAAAAGACAGATGGGTGCCGGTTCGGGAGAAACTCCTACACACACTAATCCCTCAGCACTTGAACCAACTTTGCATTTCACAAAGACAGTTCTGGGGTGATAAGGCAGTGGTAATGTGTGGTGGCCAGTAGAGCTCTCACTGGCCTCTTCAAGTGGTACTATTATTATTCATTCACCAGTCATTCTTGCACCCCGAGTCTGCCTGTCTAACGCCTCTTTTGTGCCTAGTACTACCTCTGTGGTTTCCGTTCGGCTTCTACCCTGCTTCGTTGTCTTTACGACTGACACATCCCTGAGGCCTTTGCACTACTTAACTCGAGGTGTCAGTTCTTAAGTAGAGTGGTCCGCTAGGCTCGTTGTGGAACGCTGCTGCAAACTGCTGCTTTGGTGCCTCAATTGTGAGCTTCTGTCTGTTCTGTTTCTGTGGATGATGCTTGTGATTTTAGGAGTATAGAATGTTAGAGACTGAAAGATCTTGGCTGCCATCTAGGGCAAATCATACTCTCTACATGGAAGGCTGTATGACCCCCAAATGTAGAAGCATGGTGCCTATAGCTAATTCTGGGGCTGGAACATGGACTGCCTGTAAGTACGAGGCTCATGCTTTTTGAGATGAGAAAGGCATGAATAGCCACCGTATTGGTAAGGGAGGAGGTACCTGGCTCCTGTTGCCTCTGTCCAGTGTGCTCCCATCCTCACCTGGCCGTAGTGTTCTTGTGGCGCCCCACCTGGGGAATTCTTTCTTTACTCTGTGGTCTAGTCTCCCTGACCTGGTAGGCTTTGAGAATAAGCTACTCAATTGCCAAGAACGTTAACTTCCATGGTCTGAGGATGACTCTGGTTAGAGCCTGCATTGCTACCTAAAGAGAGGCTCGGGAGTGTTGGAACATTACGTCAACCCACAGTCCCTGATGAAATGGACACAGGCTGTCCTAGTGACAGGATCCAGGAAGAAAAGTGAGGGTGTGTGGAGTGTTCAGCAGGGGATCAGGAGGACCCTCTCCGGGCCGACCCAACTCTCGGTCTCTGAGCCAATCTTGGTATGTTCACAGACACTGGCTCCATCCGAAGTGTGCAGACAGGTGTGGGAGAACTCCATGGGGAGACCAGGTTTTGGCATGGGAAGGATTACTGCAACTTTGTCTTCAAGGACTGGGTCCAACTGGACAAGCCTTTTGCTGGTGAGTATCAGGAGGAGGGTGGCTGCAGGCTCTATTGTGTTTTTCACTCTGGGGCATCTCAGCAAGTATGCATGTGCATGATCCAAATGCCTTCTGTTTTGTTTAAGGTTTTTATTTACAGTTATTGACCATATGTACATTTTTATACATGTATATGAAGTACTTTGGACCTACCCACCCCCATTACCCTCTTTTCTCCCTCCCATTCCCATTGACCCCCTTTCTCTTTCCAATGAGAAACCCTTCTACTTCTGATGGTCCAGTGAGTTTAATTAGGTTTGCATGGGTAAGGGGTCACTTACAGGAGCACAGGTGACTCACAAGTGGCTACACCACTGAAGAAAATGTCATTCCCTTCCCTGGCTGCCATTAACAACCTGTAGATACTCAATGAGGAGCCGGGGCCTCATGGCTGTTTATTTTTGTCTTTGAGGTTTTGGTTAAATTTTGGAGAGCTGATTTGGTCATACCTGTATGAGCTTTTTGTTGTAGTGGTAAGAAAAAAAACATAAAACTTAAAATTTCCCACAGGTATATTTTAGGGTAATAAGCTGAAATTTTCCATCAGAGGGTAACCTTCTTTTGGTCACATTCTTTTGTATTTATTTTCTCTGTCTTCTTTTATTAGAGGATGTATCTTAGATAATGATTGTGCTTGTATCTAAGAGGTGGCCAGTATGGTGTTGTGTATATAGATAGCCTGCTGTTATTGTCGTAGATCAAAAGGAAAATCTTATCAAGCATGCAGGCTTAGATTATTTGTACCAATTCATATCTTGCCTTGTCTGTAGATTAATATTGAGCATATATAGGGTTAGTGGAGTGGGGTAGATGACTGAATTTCTTGATTGAAAATCTGTGTTTGCCTTGAGCATGACTATGTTATGTCCTGGTTGGGGTCAGAGTGTTTTTGTCCCCTGGCACTGACCTTAGTGATGTGTCCTTGCCTGGTGGCCCTGGGCAGATTTCATTGACAGGTACTCCATGCCCCGGATGCCTTGGCATGATATTGGTTCTGTGGTCCATGGGAAGGCAGCTCGTGATGTGGCTCGTCACTTCATCCAGCGCTGGAACTTCACGAAGGTACCAATGTTGTTAGCACTTGGCCCACATTGGTCCCTGGCTGAGGAGAAGCTCAGAGGCTTGGCAGGAAAGGACTGCTGTGGCCACATCTGTGACACCATCTATTGCTGGGGCTATCGTTGTCATAGTGTTGAGTTTCCGAGCACTACAAAAAAGGAAGCTGTCTCTTGGAGTATTATGACAGACAACTCCGGATGTGAAGGGATAAATGCGGCAATCACATCCTGTGAATTTAAGCCTTTGAACCCCGTAAACGGAAGTGTCAAGTATTTGCAGAGACAGGACCCGTAGGTATGTAGACAACTACTATAGGGTCTGCAGGGCTTGTTTAGATGAGAGGCTCAGATCTTGTGCTGGCCTGGCCTTGCACTGGCACAGGACTGTGGAGCTGGCTCTGAGCAGGGAAAGCAGGATAAGCCAGAGACATTTCTTTTCTCCAGATGGAACCCAGTTAAAAGCTAGCAAGCAAGACCCTACCATGCAGAAATTCAGCCTTGTCATTGGTGCTGTTAAGGCCCCTACATTAACTTAAATAATGACGCTGTCTGCTCTGATAACCTGGAAAAGGGACCTAGTTGAGTTACTTCCATGAAAAACTTAGGGCATTAGTTTACTTACCATTCATGTGAGAGTTACAAAAAAAAAATCAGTGCAGTATTTTAAATTCAAGTTTGGAGGGGATGCCTGAGTAAGCAAAGCAATATTACTTTTTTTTTTTTTTTTTAGTTTTTCAAGACAGAGTTTCTCTGCGTAGCCTTGGCTGTCCTGGAACTAGCTCTGCAGATCAGGCTGGTCTTGAACTCACAGAGATCTCCCTGCTCTGCCTCCTGAATGCTGGTACCAAAGGTGTGCACCACCACTGGCCGGCACAATATTAGTTTTAATCTACTGTATTGTCAAAAATAAAAATATTGCTAATATTTACAGTTCCTTTGCTCCCATGCCCTGATCCTGGGAGGATAAATTAATACAACACTCAATAGTATTTTTAGGTATAAAATCTTTTCCTGCTGGGCGGTGGTGGTGCACGCCTTTAATCCCAGCACTCGGGAGGCAGAGGCAGGCAGATCTCTGTGAGTTTGAGGCCGGCCTGGACTACAGAGTGAGTTCCAGGAAAGGTGCAAAGCTACACAGAGAAACCCTGTCTCGAAACACGCCCCCTCAAAAAAAAAATCTTTTCCCAGAAAAAGTATTTCCACATCACTTCTTATGGTTCAAATACAGCCAGAACTAGTTAAAATGCTAATTAATGGTGCTAAAAACATTGTTTTTGAGACAGGCTTCCTATGTAGCCCACCCTGGCCTGGACCTCACAGTATTCCTCCTGCTTTAGTGTCCAGAGTTATAGAGTGACAGATGAGCTCTGAATTCCTGAATAATATGAATCAAATCAGGATCCTTAGTCCTATTTTGCTGTGAAGTTGTTTAAAATGAAATCATGCCTAATTGCTGTGGTAAGACATTTACAAGATAGTAAGACAAAATAAGAATTTCATTTTTGCAATTATATATCACCGTAACTGTGGATTACATCTAATTTTCTCCTACAATATAAAAGGATGTATGCCTGCCGCAAAGGTAGATGAGAAAGGGGATGCAGAAAAGAAAGACAGTTTCCAGCTTTTAACTTAGAAATAGCCGTTCATAATTATTTTGGTTCCAAGGAACCTGCATTTCTTTTCTCGCTTCCAAGTGAGGAATAATGGATCTCTTTCCTCGTTTGTAACTTTTTTGAATTTGCCTTTTCTGTTTCAGATTATGAAGCCAAAATACCGCTCCCTTTCTTACCCTTTCCTGCTCCCCAAATCACAAACCACTGCACATGAGCTGAGGTATCAGGTGCCTGAGGCAGTCCCCGCCAGAGTGCAGGTAAGCAAAGGGCTGCTGGGTAATGTCTCTGTGACTGCCACCTTGGCTTCAGATTTCCCAGTAAGCGTTTTCTTTTCTGAGGCATGCCTAAGTGGATCTTTGAAAATTCAGTGTTGTATTTACTCTTAGTGAATTCAGTTCCCCGTCTTTCTAAAACTCATGTGTTATGTCTAATAAATGCATGTCCTCATAAAGGCCACAGTGCAGGCATAGCTGCTCCTATAATCCCTTGAGGGGTTCCCAGAATTCCTTGAGAGGTGACCCTAGCAACACTTTACGCAGTAAACCTGGGGCTGGGGCTGCTCAAGCACCAGGGATGAGGCTGAAACTTGGAGTCTGGGAAGGGAGTTCTCATTCAATTGAATTTAGTGCTTAATTAACCAAATACCTTTTAGAGGCCCTTTTAAAAGAGTAGGAAGTTGTTTAATAGAGTCATAAAATTTTATAGCTTCCATTCCAACCTCTCAAATTACAAACAAGGAAACTCATGACCAGCAGGACTCTGAGGTTTATCCAGGGCCACCCACTACCGATGGATCCAAGCTCTGGCTCAGTTGTACACAGTTGGCTCCTTTATCAATGACTTCTCCCTTGTCTTGAAGTTATCCAGGGACAGAGTGAGGGTGGGCCCCCTTTGGCTTTGCCTTTGTAACATCAAAAGCATTGTTTCCGCCGAAGCCCAGTACCCTGCTCGCTCTTCATGTCTCCAGTGTGGATTGACCTAATTCAGACAGGGATTCTAGTGACCATGCTTTTATAAATGAAGTGTCTAAATCTGTTCCTTTGCACTATGTGCAAGCACAGGCATGTGCCTACCAAAAGTAAAATCACAACAGAGACAAAACAACACAGTAAAAAGAACAAGCCAGGGTGGAGGAGATAGCCACACAAGCGGAGGCTTGGAGTGTGAGCCGCAGAACCTGTGGAAAGAGGCTGGGCATTGGATGTGTGCTTGTAATCCTAGCACTGGGGAGGTAAGGACACAGGATCCTGGACTCACTGGCCAGCCAGCCTGGTGAGCCCCAGGCCAGTGAGAGATGCTGTCTCCAAAAGCTAGGTGGCTAGCTCAAAAGCAATAATACCCAGGCTTGTCCTGTGGCCTCCACGTGAATCACACGTATGTGCATGTGTACCCACCCACACAAGGGCAATCCACCTAACCACCCACATGCAAACACGCAAAGAAAAATAAAAAATAGGACAAACTTGAGAAAAGCTCCTGTAGTAGATATGTGCTCACCCCAGTTTACAGAGATATTAAGGCCTTAAATTTGGAAGCACGGAGTGCTGTACACTTGCATACAGGTTGATGAATACTTTATGAACCTATTTAATTTATTCTATGTAGATAAGGAGAGCTTACTCATTCTAGAAGATGAAACAAGGATGCTGGTATTAGGAGAAAATCAGGATTTAAGATTTGAACTTGCAGCTGGGCGTTGGTGGCACACGCCTTTAATCCCAGCACTCGGGAGGCAGAGCCAGGCAGATCTCTGTGAGTTCAAGGCCAGCCTGGTCTACAGGGCGAGATCCAAGACAGGCGCCAAAGCTACAGAAAAACCCTGTCTCGAAAAACCAAAAATAAAATTTTGAACTTGCATTAAAATTGGTGTGGGGGTCATCTTACTGAAGCCAGCTTCTGTTAAGTATTGGTCAAAAATGTATTGTTGATCTGCTGCGGAGATGGCATGTGGTGGGAGTGCCTGCTGCCAGCCACACCTGATGATTTGAGTTTGATACACTACACTCACGTGGTGGGAGGAGACTCCTGCAGGCTCTTCTCTGACCTTCCCACCCTTCCTGTGTCAAGTGTGTGCCCACACACATGCACAAGTAATATATATGATTATATCTGTATCTATAGATATCTATATATCTGAGATATTTTAGCCCATGCTGATTACATCGAGACTCAGCCAGCATGTTTAAATACCATATGCTTTATACAAGCATATATTTAAGCACCATCTGTTTACACTGTAAGCCATCATTTGTGTCCTGAGAGGAGGGGATAAAAAACAGTTTTGCTGCCTCTGGAAACATTGTTTCCTGGGAAGAGACAGTAGAAAATTCTTTTGGTAACTCACCTGAATGCCCTAAGAGCTTGTTAACAAGAAGGGGCAGAGCTTGTTCTTGTGCCTGAGGAATGAGACCACCTGCTGTAAACCACTGTCCTTGGAGAGGGTAATGTAGCTAGCTAGTGTAAGGCCAGAAGAGGGGTCTGAAGATGATGGTCAGTGACCTTGAACTTGCCCATCACCAGTGAGGATTAACCTATGACAGCTTTCCTAAACTGGCTTTTGCCTGTGAAATGCTGATGAGGATTTCACAGAAAACGGGTTTCCAAGGCTTCTTCACTAACAACAAACAAACAAAAGTTGTGCCTTCGTTATGTTAATATGTCAAGGAGCCACTGAAGAGCTTGTGTGCCATGGGGCCATTTTCAAAGTTTATCGGACAGATTCTCATTTTATTTCTTCTCATCTGCTTCTGTCTGAGTCCACTGGAGCTTGAGGCTCACATGTATGAAGAGTTTCCAGTGAAAGCCAGGGCGGTGGAGTCGCCGGAAGTACTAATGCCACTGTGGGGCTAAGCCAGGAATGAAGGCAGGGACGGGACCAAGGGAAGACACAGACATACCGAAAATGAGGGGCAAGAGACTCAAATGGAGGAAAATCAGCTAAATGTCACTGACGGCATCTCTAGAGAGGGATGTGACTGTGTCATGCTGGGTGGGCCACTGTGTGAGTTGAGGTCACCCTGGAGAATGCTCCCACAGCTCCATGGGATGTCTGTTCTGTGTGACACAAAAGTGTATCTGAGAGTGGCCGGGAGAAGGAAGTGAAAAAGGGATTCGGCATTTCTAGAAACACAGGACAACCGTCAGCTCAGCACAGTGTGTCAGAAAACCACCAAGTCAGGAAAGGCGGTGCCACAGCACCTGAGGCCTTAGCGGATCATCCCTCATACCTGAGGCCTCTTCCTCACAGGAAGTCTTATGAACTGTGTGAGTCAGATCTTCTCCCTTCAGGCCCCAAAGAGACTCCCACTCAACATCTTTAATAACTGAAGGGTCGCTGTACTGTATTAATTACCTTTTAGTGACTTCACCTGATGTAGCTTGGAGCCCACATAAAGTTCAAATGCCTACACACCCCGACTTTTAAAGGAGTAATAGTTATGTTTATTACTAAATAGAAGCCACTGTTAGAATTTGTGACTAGATAACTAAACCCGTTTTGGTGGATCTTGGAGAAAAAATAAAAATGTGAAAATGAATTGCAACATTGTGGGTGCGGTTGGTCACGGGGTTCGCTGTCGGACAGTGACAACTGGAATCACAAGGATACCAAAGTAGAAAATACATTATTCGTGAGCTCTTTAATTCCAAGATAATAGTTTCTTTTGTCCTTCTGATCCTCAACACCTAATATGTATATTTTTGAATTATTTATTTTTATTTCATGTGCATTGATGTTTTGCCTGCATGTGTGTCTGTGTGAGGATGTCAGGTTTTGGAGTTACAGACAGCTGTGAGCTGCCATGTGGATGCTGGGAACTGAACTTGGGTCTCTTGGAAGAACAGTCAGTGCTCCTAACTGCTGAGTCATCTCTCCAACCCCCAAACCTAATATTTTTATAGTTAACTTTTATCCTCTCAGTCCCTAAACCTAGGGTTACTTCTTGGCTACCTGAAGTTAAGGCCACGAGGGGAGAGAATGAGTTGTTCTTTAAGGGGCCCTACCTTAGGGTCAGGACAACTCACTGCTCAGTCCTTTCTCAACCCTTGTCCCTAGGGCTAGGGCTACAGCCCTGCTGGTTGATGGCTAGTGTGCCTGAAGCTTTGGGTTTGGTCCTCAGCATCCCATAAGACTCAGAGTATAAGTTCATGCTGCAGTTCCAGAGATAAGAAGATAAGAAAGGCACGGTTATCCTTGGCTACATAGCAAGCTCACGGCTGACCTGGGATATAGAAAACCCTGTCTCAAAAAAGATGAATATTTAATTTTGTGTCCTTTTTCTTATAGGGCCCTCCCCTGATTTAGAATGCATAAAACCTAGAGAAATCTGGGGTTCTACTGGTTTTCAGCTAAACAGCTGTGGTTCTGAAAACTGGCTGCGGCAGGAAGCTAGGAAAGCCTAGGATAGCAGACAGGGGAATCTGTGCCTGATATGTAAAATTAAATTAAATTATAAAATAAAAAAAGAAACAAAAATCCCCCACTGGGCAAAGTCCTCTGGGTTCTGTCAGTGCTGGCTCTTGACGCTCTACACCCAGTGCTTCTCACCTTCCTAAGGCTGCGGCCCTGTCATACAGTTCCTCATGGGGTGGTCATCCCCAGCCTTAAAATTATTTCTGCTGTTACTTGTAACTGTAATATTGCTACTGTTGTGAACAATAATGTAAAATATCTGATATGTGGGGTATCCGATACCCCCAGTAGAGTATCAGAAGGGTTGTTCGACTCCCAAAGGGATCATGACCCACAAGTTGAAAACCACTACTGTGATGTTTCAAAAGTTTGCAAGGAAGAAGTTGACTTTGGAATCATTAGAAGGGTTCTAAGTCAAAATCCTTATGTCTTTTTATTTATTGAAATGGAGAAAAAGAATATTTGACATGGTAAAGTAAATAATTGAGAAAATTCATTGTAAATGGATGTTTCCTGTCCTGACCACCTAGTCCCAAATAACTCAGAGGCCGAATATAAATTATAAATGCTCTACTGATAGCTCAGGCTTGTTACTAGCTAACTCTTACACTTAAATTAACCCATATTTCTATTTATGCTTTGCCACATGGCTCATGGCTTGTTACCTCTTTTTTTACATGTCCTGCTTGCTCTGCAGCTAGCTGGTGTCTCTCCTCACTCCACCTGCCTTCTTCCCATCATCCTCAGTTTGGCTTTCCTGCCTAACTTCCTGCCCAGCTGACTGGCCTGTCAGCTTTTTTATTAATCAATGAGAGTAATACATATTCCATAGTGTACAAAAGGATT